CCGTCCTGTCGACACGAGTTTGTCCATTCTTCAGTCCAACCAGAAGTGGGTTTTTAAAGCCCTTATTTGAAAACACGAGCTCTTGACACTTGTCGGGATTTAGGATGAGGTTCTGCGCTTTCGACCATTGGACTAGGTGCTCGATGTCTTCGTCATAGTTGTGAATGTCCTCGCTTTTGATGGTACTGAGAACAGTGCCATCGGCATATTTGACAATACGTGAGTTGGAATTCATAACTCGAAGTGAGTCGGTGTAGTAAGTGAAGAGGAATGGCGATAAAACACCGCCCTGTAATACACCAGTTCTGGATGCAAGGGTGTTTGAGGCTTTTCCATTCATGAGAAAGCTTCATTCCCATTGATTGTTCTCGGATAGGTAGCTGGTGATCAACGGCAGAAGCCATTGTGGTATCTTCATTTCTGAAATGCGAATGAAAAGTTTTTGCCGATCGACGCAGTTGAACGCTGAGCTATAGTCTAGAAATATACTGCGTACTATTCGCTGATGTGTTTGTTCAATTCTTTGCTGATGTAGTGGAAGATCATGAGAATGGCATCTTCAGTTGACCAAGATACTTCTTGAGCAAATTGATATGGATCATGACTATAGTCATTAAAATACCTATTCCTGGAAAAGTGTGCAATCAATAGTTAATTTTAGAGTATGTATATTTAGCTATGATAAGTGGCCTCATATTGAAACCAAACATGCAGTTCTCCGATGACTCCAACGACCGTAGTACAATATCCAATGTAAAGATTTCCTTAACCTGTCCACACACTGATGCCTTTACCTTAGTATTTATTTCAGGAAACATATGTATATGGCTAGGTTCAACTTTTTGTGCTATTTTCATAGTGAATATATTCAACACGATAAGATTATGAATAAATTGCATTTCATAATTAAATTAAATTTCTAGCAAAATGCAATCAAATAACTTGTTTGCTTATCGTCAGATGCGTTTGTGCACGCATTTTCAACTAGCGAGTCTGGTTGTTCTTCGGGCAAGCAAACTCGCTATTGTCGCGCCTTCGGCGCTCTGTAGGAGGTACCCTTCATAAAACACCTTGCTAGTCGGGTCTGACGGATGTGCTTTCACGTATGTCTCGTAGAAAGAGTTATAAAAGGCTGCGCGAGCGATAAAAAGAGGGAGTTGGCGGATGTTGTGGGATGCGGTGTGTGAGAGCGGAGAGGAAAAACATCGGAACGAGAGTTGAGAGTGAGTGTAGGACATCGTCCCACCACACGTTAATAACCATACAGGTATAGGTGATTTTGTATCCCTTTTTCAGTCACTTTTGTATGCAATAGAAGTTCAAATACGGCTTCAATATCCCATTTCTGATTCTTGTGAACATTGTTCTCATCCTATCCTGGTTGTCAGCGACTAACAGTAATTATATAATAAATTCATTATATTACTACAAGGAGTCTAAGGAGTCATTCTAACCTCGAACACGCTGGCGTTCTGTTAGTGATAAGGAATAATATACGATCACGTCAGAGCCGCCTACAACAGATGAGATTCTGAAGATTTTTCCTGGTTCAGACTCGGCTGACCGAAGACGTTGCGGAGAAAATTCTCATTCACGTCATATCAATTGTCATTTATTTTCCCCTTATTTTATTTAAATTCCTCTGGATTGTGCTCCCGGCGTGGCTTCATTTTCCCTGCACTGAAGCTGATGAAAAATGAACGATCAGCCCCGAGAGCACGACTCGATGGAGATAGGCCTTTTCGTTAGAGCTTGGTGGGAGGTCCCATGATGTAATGGACTTCGTATAATGGACTTCATGTAATGGACTTCATGTAATGAACTCCACTTTGGACTCTAAATCCGGCGATCCGAGTTTGAGTCTCGGTACCTCGATGAAAGAGATTTTCTCTCACGTTCACGGAATCTTCGTCGATGAAGGTAATCGTGTTCCCCTTCGTGTCCAGCGGGCATATGCCCATTGGCTGTCCCGTGCCTAGACTGCTACTTGTAGATATAGCACCTGAGCTCAAAGGCAACAGTGGGAAATTCAGAGAAGTTTGGGTCCCTGGAACGCAAGATTCCATGTCTGACAGGAAAGATTTGGAGGTGGGGGGCTCTCTAGGAAAAGGTCACTCCGTAGTACTAAATATGCCAATATACTGTATACAGTCTGACAAAGGGGCATTCCAACCCTCTTACCCTCGAGAAGACAAACACCTGGGTGAGAAAAAAAAGGAAACCGTTGGCTAGGTCTCACCGAGATTTGAACTCGGATCGCTGGATTCAAAGTCCAACGTGCTAACCATTACACCATGGGACCTCCCGTGATTAAAGTACCGTTTTACTGCATTCTCGAACGAGTTGCAGCTAGCTAAGATCTCCTTTCTATTTGCCTTTCCCATAGAAACTATAGGAAAATTGCAGATATTACGATCGGTCTCACTTTTCTTCTCTTTCGTACCGTCTGTCCGCAGCATCCATGGCGATCGGAGAATTTCACTCAGGGCGCATGCGCAATCGCCTGGGCAAATTTGGAGGTTCACATCGATTATGAATTTCTATTGAGTTATTGGTCAATGTCTTGCCTCGACTTAAAAGATGCTAATGAAAGTTTGAATTTGAAACGAAAAAAACCTATCATTATTTTCACCAGGACATGTAGGAAGAAAAACGTTTTCTGGAGTCGGCCGTGCCCTTTCGAAAGAATCAGCTATCTTAAGTGTAAGCTCTTAAGGGTAAGTTCAGCCATCTTAAGGGTACGCTCTACCCTTTATTTCCAGTCTGGAAATTGAAACGCACTCTCTTACAAAAGCGGAAAATCTCATCCCTAAAAACAATATATCGATGAATTACGACCTTGGAGCTCATTCCATTCAGCGTACAAAGTACATCACCCAGTACTAGTCAGTACTTGTCTGTATCACAAGAACGCCAAGACCGATCGCAAAACCACGAGACCATTCCAAAGAGATTTTCTCAACGGCTCTTGCTAAATTGGGCGCTTTTTGTGCAAATCGAGCAAAACTTTTGCGCCGTAGAGTCCCATTATGAAAGTCTGGTTCCACTCTCTAATACTAGATGGCGAACATGTCCCGAGCGATCGAGGAATAGGCGTTGTTAATGAGGCCCGACTCCTTTGCCTATTTTGTGCCCCTCACTCTCCCCCTTTATCCCCCTCCCCCCCCTCCCCCTCCCCTTTTTCATCCATGCCTTGCTCAGGAGCCATTCATCGATGGGAAAATTCGTTCCATCCACGGATTTCTTGGCCATTTTTTTATAACGAATATTTATCGAATATCATTCAATTTATTGAAATGTCGAATATTTGTGTTTTTCAGTAACAAGAAATACGCGTTCGATTTCATAAATACTTCTGATAGCAGCGATACCCTCCCTTCGCCACTAAGTAGATTTTTAGTCGAATCATTCGATCGACCGCCTCACACGGAAGTCAGCGGGACGGATATTTCCAGGGAGCAAAAATTAAGCTAGCCTGTGAAGTCATAGCCTTCTTTGATACGAACATGGTAAGCCCCATTCAGGGCTGCGAACCATGTTCGACCGGTAAGTAATTAAATTTAAGTTTCAATGAGGTCGTATGGGAAGCGAGCCATGCTCTTGGGCGATCTGCATGCAAAATGCAGTTCCTCGAGGGGGTTCAACGTAGTTTGTAGGGCTGAATGGGACTCGCCAGGCTCGTAAATAGTGAGGCTAACGTAGAATGAACCTTTTGATCGGCACTCATGGCACAAAGATATGATCGCACCATGATTCGTTGTTCACCCGAGATTGTGGGAGTCCATGAACCAGGCCTTCTATTGACCCAGTTTTATCCTGAAGGCCTGGCCCACATTTATCCCTGGCCCACATTATATCCCAGAATGGGAGCACATTAATTCATTTTCGTATTATTGAAGAGTCGACACAGGGTACAAGAGAGTTCTATATCGTCTAACATCTAATACATTGAAAGAGGCCGAAAGTTATGTTGGCAGACATTCCTAACGCGCGAGGCCTATGGTACTATTTCATTCTATGCAATAAGCCTGGCCATCCACGCCCCAAGTCGTTAAGCCTACAAGCCCTTCCATTCTGAGCCATAGCAGAGAGTCCACTCTGCTCGAATTCATTAACAGGGTCGGAATATAGATGTCGCTGTCGATCCTCCGCGTAACGAGTGCACACCAACTCCTCCATGGCCGAGCAGCGGACTCAACGAGACACGTGTGTTACGTTGAGGGATCCCTTTAGGTCGAATCCTCGAACGAGTCGATTCCCGATTCCCCTGCCCACGAAACACGCCTCATGGAAGTGTTGATGACAAGCCGCCTGGTGTCTCTGTAATGTTTCGACCCCCCCCCCTACCCCTCGGTGTTGCCTCTAGTTACACCCTACACATCTGAAGTAGGAGAACGTTGCAATAGAACCGAAGTGATACGTTCGATTCTCTTGCATCGAAAAATCGGATGTGGACATGATGAAACGGAATGACCACATCGACCTCTCGAGGCGATCGAATGACGAAGGAAACGTAAGGGAGGTGGGAAAAGGCGGGGAGCTCAACCTCTCGATAAGAAATATGTTGGACGTTCCCCGAGGGGAAAGAGGGTCTGGCAGATGCTATGCGACATCTATGAAACCGTCGCCCCAGGTCAATTTTCAGAAAGGGTAGGATCTCCCCTCATCTAAAAAAAGCCACTTCGAGCAGATCAGCCATCTCTATCTCAAAGGGTTCCTCCTCGCCATAGAGCTCCCCTTCCTTCTGTGGATTCGAGCGATTCCCATTTTAAGAGGTATCCATGACTCTCTTTCGGCACGTCTCTCTCCCGAGTTCCGTGTGGAAAGAAGAGTGGGATGACTAAGGGAAACTTCTATACCAAGAATCCCGTATTTTTCCCCGTCTCTGACGTTTCGCGTTGCTAAAACTTATATAACCACAAGCGTTTCATTCGATCCAAAGAAAACCTCGATTCCATCGAAGAAGTTGATTTTCATTTCTTCACTTCCTCAAAGAGAACTCAAAAGAAAGAGAGGAAAAAATTGGTGAGAGTCGAGAAGACGCTCGCAACGTTGGACACCGTCATGGACCCCATGCCCCCCTTGCACACCACCCCGAGGGTCGTGTTCTCCCTCGCGGAGTCGGAAGAGATGGTGGCCCACTTGGACGGGAACATGTAGGCGCAGTCGCCGGCGGTGGAAGGGCTCTGGTTCCCGTCCCACCAGTCGTTGACCGCATTGGCCTGTGGGGTCCCGTCCTGCCACTGGAAGCTCCCATCCCGGTTCGGCCGGCTAAGCCCGATCCAAAAGTCCTTCGTCGTTCTCTGGAGAGTAGGGTTCATGACGACCACTGAAACCGGAATGCGAAGAGGACTTTGCAAAAAGAACTCGTCAATAGAAATGTATGCAGTTTTCCAGCTATTGAATGTTTGAGGAAGCTCAAGTGGAATTTGCCGGGGAGGATATGCGGTCACTTCGGCGTCTTTGAGGCTATGTTTTATGAATTCAATACCACAAATGGACTGAGTGGTTCATTTGATACAGGGAATTCATTGGGTGTCCCTTTGAGATGAATATAAATTGTCGCTTCATTTAATGCAGTATTAGTATTTTCAACCGCTCAAAATTCTTCACTTCGTGAAATGCAAGAAACAGCAGCGTTCCCTTATGCAGAAATCAGTGAACGCATTAAGAGGGTTACGAATGAATTTTTACATTCATGAAATAGACACCAAGCAATGAAAATAAACGTAAGCAGTTCCTGTGACACTGAGCCGACATCGGACATGAACAACAACCATGCTTTATGGACCACAACCGAACTACGAGGTAGTGCGAACAAGACCATTTCTTCAAAATATAGATAAATGAACGGGAAACAAGGGGTAAAGAAAATCGATTTAAGGATCGCCCCTGGCGCCTTACGCTTCATTTCGTTGGCGACAGCCGTCTGGGTGGTGAGAGAGTCAACCACCAGGAGCTTCCCGGCCACTTTCGTCAAGCAGGCCGCCTGGGCTTCGCCATAGGTCACCTGGCTCTCGGGGAAGATCCGGAAGCACTTGAGAGTCCCAGCCGGTTTGAGGCCCAGGAGCGGGTCGCACCCAGCTGCGGGGAACGGGGCCAGCTCGCAGATGAACCCTTTCTTCAGGCTGCAGTCCCCGTTTTGCCACTGGCGCGGGTACATGTAGGAGAAGTCTACGAGGAATAAAGTCGATCGTGTCAGGCATTTCTTCCAGGGAAAACTCATCTTAGAATGAATGTTGAATGTACATTAGCCATGCGTCTGGACACCGTTTGCCAAAAGAAACATGAAACTCCGAAGAATAATTTCTATTAGAGTCTATTATTTTCAGGATGTAAAAATGTACGAAATATTGCATTCTATTTCGGAAGGTCAACTCGTTTCCTTGCTCGTTTTACGAAGAAACTCCAACGGAATTTTCTCTATCTAATCCCTTCTCATTGGTCCCCACATCCCAGTTTAATAACATGGGGAAAAGGAAATATAATTGAATTCAGTATTTCAGTTTTCATTAGTGGTGTCGGTACATTGTACAGCTTCGCATTATGAAAAAAAAAAATTGTATAAGTCCCATTGCCCATGGTCCCATCAGAAACCCAAATCACGCGCTTTCATTCGTAGATGTCTCGGCGGATGCCTCGTCATTCGTTCGGGCACGTTTCTATCCGGCAGACAGAGCTCCTAAATAACCGAAAATGCTTCTATACAACTGAGAGCGCGCCAATCAAGCCGGCAAACCGCTATCCAGCGGACAGCTCTCGATTCCGGAGTCCAGACATTTGCCAAATGGAAGAGTCTCACCGTCAAACGCCGGATCTTTGTTCGTCGCGCTGTCGTAGTTGTCGTATCCACCCGACGTCTGCCTGGTCTCGTCTGGCCTCACGTTGGCGACCCACGTCCCCGAGTACTTCACGTTGTTTCCCACGAAATAATTCTCGTCCCTGGAAGCCGGCAGGACGAAGAGGGAGCTCCTGAGCGTCCGGCAAGTCCCGGCCGCCTTGGAGAACGTGGTCGGGTCCGCGTTGAAGTAGTAGCAGCTCCCGCTGTTTTTGACCCAGCCGTTCGGGCAGCCGCTGTACGCCGTGCCCGCCAGCAAGGACAGCAGAAACAAGTACCCAAGCATCCTGGGAGATCTGTCGGTTGGGAATGATAAACGGGGAACTTTATCCAGACCAATTTTACGTGAAGGCAAGGAAAGGCAATGCCGATTTTTTTCTCTCTGGTGAGAGCTAGTATTTAAGTACTTATATCAGATTTGTGGTTACATGCAAATATTTCGACACCGTGAGTAGGTCTCTGCTGTGGGAGCAACTTGAGTCGAACCGCGCGCTCGTCTTCTCCCCTTTCGCACCCTATATCTGTAAGGACTCTGAATCTCTCCTGGTGGAGCCTCGAGCCATCGAGATACCCTGAGAAAGTCTGGCCGAGGTCACAAGAAACTTCTCGTCCGTGGATTCCCTTTATGCAAGCCGAAACTTCAGACTCGGATTGTTAGTGGGTGCGAACTAATCGAAGTGTTCAGAGTCTCTATCATTTTGGAAAAGAATTAATAGCAAGTGAAATAAATTTTCCTCCCATAATCGGAATCACGAGATGCGAACAGCCTCAGGGGCAGGTAACGTACATTTCGAAATTATCTACGGAATTTGACACTACGCGGCCGGTTTTTTCCGAAGCACAATTGAGTCCAGCAGGAAAGAAATTTCACACTCCACACGAAATGGTAGACAGGAACGAACCGACGCCGAAGACTCACCGGGACCAAGTGGCTTCCACTCCTCTTTCCTTTTTCTCTCTTTCCCCCCCCCCCCCCCCCCCCCCCC